CCATGCAATCAGCCTGATATGAAATGTTACCCAGTCTCTATTTTTATAGCTCAGAAATCCTAGTGAAACTGAACCCATCAAGCAGTTTGAGCTCTTCAGAGAAAATGCTGAAAGTTAATGTCATTGGATCTGGCGGTCTTGTGATTTCCCCAAAACAATATATTTTGTCTATAAAAACAACCTGTGGGGCACAAACGTTTTGTCTCTTCTTCAGGCTTTGGGTTCTCACATCACTTCCCACAGACGAACCCTGGAAGAAGCATTCTGAAGCCCACTTCTCCTTTCCCAACTCACCTGCCCTGTGGAGACTTTTGGCAGCTGTCCCAAGTCTGTCCAGCGTGGCAGGGAAGAAACTGCTTTGGGGCCTGGTTGGAGACTGACAAGGTGCCCCTCTGTATTTGCCAGCATCTCAGAGAAGCTGTGATGTTCACCCTTCAAGATTTTCCAGAATGTGCATGATGTGCTTAGGTTGGAGGAAGGAGCAACAAAGAGTCTTCCTGCCATGAGTGGAGCATTATGAGCCAAAATTTGTCCCCCTAAAATTCATATGTTGAAGTTGTAAGCCCCCAGGACCTCAACATGTGACTGTAGGAGTAATTAAGGACTAATTAAGTGGAAATGAGGTCAATGGGGTAGGACCTAATCCAATCTGACTGGCATCCTTATAAGGAAGAGGAGATTGGGAGCACTGAAAAGAACAGAGGGAAGATACTGTGAAGCCACAGGGAAAAGATGGCCATCGGCAAGCCAAGTAAACAAGTCTCAAAAGAAATCAACCCTGCCAGCACCTTGATCTCAGACTTCCAGCCTCTAGAACCTTGAGAAATTCTTCTGTGGTTTAAGCTCCCCAGCCTGTAATATTTTGTTTTGGCAGCCCAAGCAAACTAATGCATGGAGCTTGGGCTCCAATTCTAGAACACAATCAGTCAATACGTTTTTAAAAATTGAACACTTACTGTGATCCAGGCACTGTGCTGTGTTCTAGGGCAGAAGTGGTGAGAAAAGTTATACATGGTCCCTGCCCAAATGGGGTTACCAATAGGGCAGGGAAAGGAAAGGAGCATTTTGGAGGGATCTATAGTCAACACAAAACCAACGCAAAGTCACCCTTCCCCAAAAGGGACCAGCAGTGCTAGGTGCATGGCCTGGGGTGGGGACATCAGGACAGACCTGGATTCACATGATGGAGCCAGGACTTCCTTTCTATGAGATCTTCGTCAAATGGCATGCCTTTGCTGGCTTTGCTTCCCTCTGCTGTAAACTAGGGTTAGTTATAAACCCCATATCACAAGTTTCTAGAGAGGATTGTGTCAGTCAGTGCATGTACAAGGCTTGGCATATACTAAGTGCTCAATAAATGCTGGCTATGATCATTTATAATCACAATTCAGGCGTCTTCCCCACTGCCCTTCCATCCTGTCACTCCTTGTAGCCTCAGGCCAGCTACTATGAGGGAGTGGCACTGGTGCAGGATGGGAGGCTGGGGAGAGGGCAAGGAGAGGGACCCCACCTTCCCAAGCCACACCCTTGAGGCACAGGGTCTGCTTTTCACCTGATCCCCTGTCTCTGGGGGTAGAACCGTCTCCCTCCACCATCACCTCATTAAGTCCCTGCCCCTGACTTGCCCTCATCGTCTATAAGCAAGTGCCTTGGCCCCAGAACCTGTGGCTAGATTAGCAAGGGAGGCCCAGTCCACTGGATGGTGCATAAGGGGGACTTTGGAAGCCCAGGGCATCCTTCATGTATTAACTTCCTTGCATGCGCAAAGTGGGACCCTAAGTCACTGCCTAGAACATTTGTCTCTGGCAAAAGAGCCTAAAGTTCAAAACCCACGTTCAGAATATGACCCCATCTGTGTGCCTGAAGGGCCTTCCTTTGACTTTCCAGCATCCCCAGAAGGTAAGCATCACTCAAGCCCCATCTCCCCAAGGCCTCTGGCTGCCATTCATGGCATTTGGGCTCCATATTCGGTCTTCTAAGGAGGTCCCAAGTTTCACTGCCATTGTCCCATCACTTCTAGGGTCTTCCCGATTAAAGGACAGATTACTTTCATTACTTGGAGTTGGCACAACTAGCACTTGCGACTTCCTGTGGCTATATCTCTCTGCATACCCACAGCTGGGAATCTCTGAGGGCTAAGACCATGTTTCCTCTGTGCAGAAGCTGGGCATTATTGCCCTCTGAACAATCCCTGACCCTTGCCATCCTTAGAACTCAGGAAGCCCAGCCAGGGCAAAACCTGAGTACTGTACACCTTCTACTCCTCTCCCAGCTTTGAAACCAAACAGGGCATCCTTCCAGCAAGGGACACCTCTGTTAGTAAGCAGGGATAATCTGACTAGGAAGTTTCTAGCTGCGATTTGTGACAGATCTTACTAACCTCATCCCAGAAAGACAGGTCAGGAGATAATTTTACACACTGGGGACAAACTTTAGGACCCAGGACATATCTGCTTCCTGCTCCTGGACTGGTTTGGGCTACTTCCTTACCTACAGCCTGACCCACAACCACCCATACCCCTTGGAAGTTTGGGAGTCAGTAGGGATCCAAGATGGATGAGGACAGGATTCAAGTGGATGCCATTTGCTCTTTATTATTATTGTTTTCTTGTAAAGAAGAAGACAAAATGTAACAGCCAAACTCAACAATTATGAAAAGAAAGAGAGAGAGAGAAATCAGAAGCAAGTTTGTCTGTTGTTCCCAGGCTCCAGTGAAATGCTGACATATTACCGAATGCACAGATTTCCCAGCTGACAAGGGTTAACACATGAATACAAGCACAGTTTAAAGTGGTACCAAAATTAATCAATTTCACAGTAATTATTTCTATAAGCTCAGTTGCACATATCAGGGTTTCCACTGTCACAAATTCACAATGTCAGAATGAAATAGCAGATGTGTTCAGGCCTGGGAAAGTGGCATCTGTGAGGGGAGATGGATTGAGAGGCAAAAGCAGCTGGGGGATTTGTCCCAATCCTGAAGATCTGAAGGCTGGGGGTGGGTAAAGGGCAGGCACTGTTCAGCAGTCAGATGTCAGTACAGTGAAACAACTGTTGAGGCATTGAGCTTGAGAGGGTGTGCTATTTGGGTATGTTTGTCAGAGAAATTCTTGCTAGAGAGAGACTCGCTGCCCACAGTCTGAAAGGAAAAGCTCCCACGTTTGAATATTTGGAGGCGAATGATGGAGCGGCCAGTCTGACAGTGAAGCATCTGCTTTACAGAATATTTAGAAAGATACATCACGTGTATTAGTTTAAATTGCAGTCCAGTTCACAAACTATGTTATTCACAGGATAAATAAAGGAGTAGAGTGAAAGGCTGCAATATCCAACATCCTTGCGATGGAGAGAGAACAAGAGATCACCCTGTACATACAAGAAGTGCTGAACCGCAAAGCTGAAGGCACGGTGAAGGGATCCTTAATATCTTGAGCCTTTTCTTTGAAAAGGGTACTCATTTTAAACTGGATTTCTCTTACACAAAAGACCCTGAACATTGGCTAAAGGGAAGAATATTTCAAATATTTTTATGTAGCCAGAATCACAGCTACTGTGAATTGTCTTGAGTTGTGATTTTCTCGAAGTTCTGAAGTAGTGGGCTTCAAATTAATGGACTTTTACTATAGTTGCAAGCAGTCTGATTACTGTACTTTTAAATTAGCTAATTGTAGTGATTAGTATCAGTAGAGTTTCATGGCAGGGGGGTGGGGGGCTGTGCTTGTTTCTGAATTGGTGAAGTCCTGAAATGGAGCTTCATTACTTGTCAAGCTGAAAAGCCACCTAGACCAGCAGCTGTACTGCCAAGACATCCATCTCAGCCTCAACTGTGAGTGTCCACACATGAGACAGCACACATGCATACTCCTAGAAAGACAGAGCCTCCGTGAGTGAGACTCTCTCCATGATCTCTCTCTCTCGGACAAAATAACAATCTAGAGGCAGTGTTTAACTTTTTTTTTCTTCCTTCTCATGGGATGTCATTTGGTTGTCAAAAGATCAGCTCCGGCTGGGGGTTGTGATGCTCCACCCACCGGAAGAGGGGAACCATTTGGCTCTGACTACTTGACAAAAAGACACTTTCCTGTCCTGAATTCCTCATATTCGGGCTACCAAAAAGGCGATGTCCGACAGATCAGGCAGACTCCTGTTTCTGGAAGCACCCTAAGGAATTCACATTCATGGCAGTGGGATTGGAAGTTGAAAGAGAGACCTCCCGGGGCTGACTGCTCAGCACTGCGTCTCCCTCAGCCAGCGCTCAACGCAGCTGTGCGGGTGGTGTTTACACGCCAGGCACCTGTGCACCCCACTCTTGCACTTGTGCTTTCATTTTGAAAACCAGAGGCAATGGGGAGTGGGGGGAGGGACAGGATCTCGATTTTTCTTTTAAAAAATCTTAAAAAGTTTTTGGTTGAAAACAAGTGACAGTCACATTTCAAGAAATTTTTAAAGACTTCTTTTTGAAAAATGAAAAACATCTAAGTAACTAGCCCCGCCATACCCAAAGTCAATAGTCACACATCTTTCCACAAAAAGAAAAAAAAAAAAAAAAAAACATGCCCAGGAGTGCTCAGATTTCTTTCAGCTGCTGACGCCCACAGAACAGGAGCCTGGGCCAGGGGCATCATGCCAAAAGGGCGTGTGAGCGGGGGTTGCACAGGGTGGAGGCCTGCAGAATGGAGCTGCTTTGTCTTCTTCCAAAGCCTTTTTCAAGGAGGCAAAGGATGACAACTTTGGGGGTTGGGCGTCCAATAGTTAATGTCACTTTTCCTTGCTCAGGGTCCTGTCATCAGGCTACTCAGCCCTGGGAGGGGGGGTGACATTCCTCTTTTCAGACCGGATCCCTCCTGGTACAAATATAGCTGCACACCGGCTATTGTTTCAGATAAACAATGAGAAAAGGCAACGTGCACACTTAGATACACACACACACACACACACACACACAGACACACACACACACACACGCATAGAAGCATAGAAGTCCAAAAACAACAAAAATGTAGCCACAAAAGAGTTAGCATTGTATCAAATCCACCTCCATACAAAGACAGAGTTTGAAAAGATATGTACAGGGCATTCGTAAAAGCCAAGTGTGCACCGCAAGGAGTGATGCCGCTGTGTGCTGTACAGTCTTTTTTCTACAATGTGTTGCAAAAACCATCCCAGAGACCATGGTGCAACCCCACCTGGCAGAACATCATGAAGCATCTGAACCGAACACCACAGGCCTTAAGCAACCACCTGTGACTCTTCCCATGGCCTGTCCTCAGTCCCTGAAGGACACATGCTGCTCTCCATGGGCCAGGCCTTGGGCTTCTTCCTGCTCTCTCCCATTACCACCCAGCTGCAACTCAGATGCCAAAGGCAGCGGGCATTTCTTGGCAAGCTCCCTTTGGCTCTGATCAGCGGAGCTCATGCCCGGCTCTGTGCTGAGTAGACTTAGGATAAGTTTCTTCTCACCTGCTCCCAGGTCACACTCTGGCACCTACTTGAAGAAATATTGGGAGAGCCAGGGCTAGCCCCGAGCTTCAGGTTTCCCCAGGTCCCCCAACATGGAAAAAGCAGGGGCCTTCTAAGCCAAAAACCCCTTTGTGACGAAGGGCAAGAGTGCAATGTTGAAGGCCCAGGGGAAGGAAAGACAAAGGAATGAAAGGTAGAATGTCACCTGCTTAGCATCTCTGGCATCAGGGAGCTCTGGGGAGGACGAGAGGATGGAAAGGGTCAACTGACGGGAGATTGACTCCCCAAGTGGAGACTCAACATCAGAGGCATATGAGGGCCTCAGCTAAGACTGCTTCCTTACAACCTGCACCTTTCTAGAAGACTCTTCCTAAGGCAAACCTCACTGGCTTCCTGGCACTTCAAGCACTTCACAGGCATTTGCTCAGTCAGCCTCCAACAGGCCTATGAGGTAGGGGGAAGGATGGAAAACCCCAGCCACAGGGTCGAGTGGTCCAAGCTGGTGGCCTCACTGGGATAGAGACACAAGCCTTCTCACTGGAAGCACGTCCCAGGGCAAGTCCTCAGGGCTATAGCAGCCTCCAGAAGTCCTCTGTGGCCTGAAGGCAGGGCTGCATTCAAGGAATGAGTCCCAATGTCTGCCTTAGAGAGATATTTTGATAGAAAGAAGCTTGTCAACTGAGTGAGTTTTAAACTGCTGTGGTTGCCAATAGACCCAGGCCATGCATTCTTGCACCATACAAAAATTTGCTACAGTTTTTAAAGCACCACAGAGGAGAAATGGTTTGGTGTCGACGTCAAGAGGATGGAGACGGAAGTAGGGGGAGGCGGTATCAACAGTGTCTAGCATGGTCACTGACAGTTAAAGGGCAGGTGCCTTCTGCCCTACTGCTGTCCAAAGCCTCACTGAAAACAGACTGGCACCTGGCAACAGCAGAGCAAACCCCAAATGGGCCTTCGACTCCAGGCCACGGGCTTCTCCACAAGTGTTTTAAAAGGGACACTTTAGGATCTTCTCCCGAGATGGGCACCATCATTAAGGAGAAATTCTCAATCTGAAGTTCAATTTCAATGCACCATTCACAAAAAGTAGGCTCATGCCAGTGGGTAGTGGTTTGAACACAGCTGGTCCACATGTCTGGAGAGACAAGCACACTAGAAACTGAATGGCAGAGTCCACGTGGGCCCCTTGGTCAATGTGGATGAGGAAACTCTGCCACCCAGCCCTCTGGCCCTCATGCTTCACACACCCTGTCCTCCTTCCAGGAATGTGGGGACAGGTTTTGGGGCAGGTGGGCATCACAGATCCATGTGATCAATTTCCCTTGGCCTCCTATGAACGGCCCGGGTGCTAGAGTTTTGTTCTATTGTATTCATTATTTATTTGTCATGATTTTTTTCACTTTGTTTTTGCTCAATCCTTGTCCCTGTCCTCCAAATATAAGCAAGGACAGAAAGCACAGAACTGTGGAGGAAAAGGGGTGCTGAAAGGCTGGCTTCCCTCCCTTACCCCTGTGGTCCAGGGCTCCAGACACAGACAGGCCTCCAGCCAGCCCCACAGCCCCTGGGCTGGGCCTTTGGACATTCTGGTTACAATCAACTCAATGGGGTGATTCCTTTGGCATAAGAGAAGCCAGTTCCTGATGGAAAGACAGGATGTTGGAGGCTTGGGGGTCATCCGAAAGAGTTGGGCACTTTGGCCTTTGGCTCTTCCGGGAGCTTTGACTCATGCGTGGTCCCTACCCCCACCCTCCCCACTTGTCTGTGACAGCTGACTTCCTAAAACTCCGCAGTTAGGGAATTATTTGGCAACAAGGAGGCTAAGGCTGTTTTGTGGTGGCACAGTCTTTAAAAAGTTCAAAAGAAAATATGAGACCTCAGAAAGAGGCGTTCATCCGGGACAGTGCATAAACGTCCCACTATTTGTCAGCGCCAGGGTTGGCGGCCACTATCTCCTCGTACTTTGGGGGTGGGTCGCTGTAAGACATACTGGCCTCCTCACTGCTGCTCTCTTGGGGCGCAGTCACCTCCTCGTAGGAGGGGGGAGGGGTGGTGCTGGACAGTCTGGAGAGAGAGAGCTCAGGGAGGTAGAGAGTGCTCTCAAGTCGGACTGTGGTCCTGCCCCCCTGACTGGGCCCCACCACCACCTGGGGGCTGCTCACTGCCTCTCGGTGCCCAGAAGGCTCCCCTTGACTATGCATGGTACCCCGGTACACCATGACCCGGGGGAGGGTGTGCCCGGCGCGACTGGCTAGGTACCGGTTCTGAGCATAGGAGGGGTGGTGACGGGTCGCTTTCTGCAGCTGGCACCTCCAGATGATGAACAAGGCGATGACAATCAGCAATGCCACCCCCAGAAGGGGTACCACCACGTACATGGCATCTGAGCTCTGTGAGGGGTCTCGGACTGAGTATACTGCATTTGGGTATCCCTTCCAGAACTCCATCTGCAAAAGAAAAAGGGGTACTTACGAGAAGCTCAAGCTCCAGGTGGGCTCAGAGACCTTCAGTAAGTCTGCTGCTTCCTACCCTTCCCCATCTGACTTGTCTCAGAGAGTTACTAGAGAGGCAGCAGAATGTACCAAGGGCAAAGGACAATGCTCCCAAGTGAGGAGGACCCCAAAAGAGTCAGACAATGGGACTGTACGGACTTTATCTGCTCCTTGATGGCCCTAGTGGCTATGCCTTACGCTGGGTGGCTTTCCTTGCTTCTGACTCATCTGCATTACCAGGGCCTGTTCTTGTTATTCCTGAGGCTACTTCTACTCCCAGAACCAGCCCCAGGGTGGTACATGCCGTTTTCTCTTTGTTCTCAAACACTTCCTTGACCTCCTCGTAGCTGCAGATCTCCTCCATGCACTCTCGCTCGATGGTGCCCTGGCGCAGCTCCTCCAGGAACTCATTGGCACGAGGGAATCGTTTCAGGACCGAATGGGCATCCTTGGCCTCCAGAAAAACTGAAGAGAGAGCCCTACTGAGGCCTGGAATGGGGAGATGCCCAGGGGCTCCTTCAAACCAGGCCCAGCCCAGCAACTGAAGCATAATTACGCAGGGAAACAAGGCCGAGTGAGCAGGCAAGACACTAGGCTTCTGATCAAAGGACATGGCCAGCCCTTTGTAAAAGGGATGGAAAGGCTGACATTCTATGGTGCCATGATACACCTGTCTAGAATACCATGGCCCCAACAAGGCTCAGGCCCCTGGTTACATGGAAGAAAATGGGAGCCAACTGCAAGGAAAGTGCACGTTGCACAGGAACAATAAAGAATAAGAACTGAGTAGGCAATCTTCAGTGACTAAATCTCCAGTATCTTTTGCATCACCTTGAAAAGTGAAAGTTGGAGCCCTTGCAATGAGAATGTATTCCTCTTTAAGGCTGATACTGGTAGAACTAATACCAGATAATCCTAGAAGACTCTACCAGGGTGGCATTCCTCCACCTGAACATCCACCTGTGCCACCAGGTTGTCTGGCATCAATAGTCTTGTTCAAGAAAGCCTAATGCAAAGCCAGCCTGGGCTAGATCAGACAAGTGGGCATACATGAGCCTAAGAGCACCTCTGGGGATGGGAAGTAGCAGGGCTCAGATGGAGAGTCTAAGCCTTTACAGACAGGGCACAGACTCCCCCTACAATACTGTCTTTGGATGGTGCACATATCTACTTATTCCAGAGAGAGAGACCCAGCTACAACCAGGCTGACCAGAATAGCTTGAGCTCTGCACCCACATAAGCCTAAGTTGAGACTGTGAAGGATGAAAGAAGAGGTGACGTTTGCTCCTGTTGTTCACCTAGAGGTGGGACTTCCTGGTTCCCATGTAAAGCAACTCCCCCTGGATGCCCAAGCTGGCATGTCTTTGCCAGTGGGCAAGCACCCTTCCCCAGGTCCTATGGCCTGTCACGTTAGTGTCACTCAGGCAAGTCTGGGTAGGTACACATCTACAAGTAACATATGCTCCAGAAGGGAGCCAAAGTGTTGAGAGGGCAAAACTGCTACTCAGCTATTTGGAAAATGGCTACAGGGCCACTTGGGGGGTGGGAGGCAGGGAAGCTGGGAAGGACTTGAAACCTGACTCATGAACCCCTAAGCATGACCCTCCACAGCTCTGCCCGGGTCTGGAAAAACTCACCTGCCATGATGCTCCCTCAGCTCCAGGGTCTCACTTCTCTGGAGTAAGAGAAAAGCAAAGTTGCAGTGAAACCACATCTAGAAATTTACAGGGAACCCTCTTGGTTCTAGGATGTGCCCCCTTCCCACTGGCCTGGTCAAAAGGTTGAAGCAGCACCTTGTGGGGCGCATCATCCTCCATGCAGCCACCCATAGCTTCTGCTGCTTCTGATTCTGCCCCAAGCTCTTCTCCAGAGACCTCCCCAGGCCCAGCAGGGCCCAAAGCAAACCTTTAAGCGTTTTCCCCCAAGAACATGTTCTGAGCATCCATAAGAACTAGGGGTTGACCTTTTTCTTTAAGAAAGGAAAGCTCCTACAGACTGAGGCTCCTCCTTCCTTGCTCCCCTCAATGAATCTTTGCAACTTCCAGTTGGAAAGGACCTCAGAGATAGATGAGGAAATAAAGCCCAGAGAGACGTGCTCAGACAAGGTTAAGCAAATCAACAGTGACAGTGGCAGGACCAGAATTCACAACTAATTTTGATCACAATGGTGAGTCACAGATACCTCCAATGACAAGCACGTTCCCTGAAAACAAAGCTTAACACATCATCAACCATCTCAAAAGTCACTGCCCTGCTGGGACTAGCCTACAGCAATCTTCAATTGACACATCTTCTACAGGGTCTCATCCTCAATGCACAGCAATGCTGCATTCTTCATATTCCCAGGCATATCCAGAAGACCCAAGCCCAGGTGACCCACTGTGTTCATCTTCACCAGACAAAGAGGCAAGATACCTGGAATGTTCTGGAACCAGGCCTCTCTTCTCTCTTTGCATTAAATCCTACAGCAGTAGAGTATCAAGACATGAATTTAGATGACCAACACTGAGATGCCAACTAGAAGAGTTGCCCCTAATGTGAGCTATTGTCCGAAAGCCTTTCTCCTGCTAAGGAGCTATCCAGCCAGTACTTAAACCGTGGTCACAGCACACTGCTCCCTCTGTCCCTCCCCACAACACACACGCCCACTCATACACACATTCTGGAGCCCTTGCTGAGCTGTCCACATCTGGGAGCAATCACCCCACTGCTCCCCTCCCCAAGCAGAAGCTCTGGTTTTATGACTAACTGGTTGCAAGACACGTGAACTGCGGAATCCATTGAGCCCTCCTTTTTGCCTAGGCTGCCAGGAAGTACAGCATCACTATTGCCAGTCAAGTATAGGCACACTGAAAGCCCAGTTGTTAAGCACATATGCTTCTCTCCTGTGATGTGGTATACAGCTTTCTATTTATGTTTTCAGTGTCTTATTGTGCATGTATAATATGTCACCTAATCCTTTTGGCAAACAGTTGGGATATAAATCAATAATTTAGGCTATCGCAGTGGCTCATGCCTGTAATCCCAACACTTTGGGAGGCTGAGGTGGGCAGATCACCTGAGGTCAGGAGTTTGAGACCAGCCTGACCAGAAAATGGTGAAACCCCATCTCTACTAAAAATACAAAAATTAATTGGGCACGGTGCCGTGCACGCCTGTAGTCCCAGCTACTCAGGAGGCTGAGACAGGAGAATCACTGGAACCAGGGAGGCGGAGATTGCAGTAAGCCGAGATTGCGCCACTGCACTCCAATTTGGGCAAGAAAGAAAAGAAAGCAAGAAAGCAAGAAAGAAAGAAGAAAGAAAAGAAAGAGAGAGGAAGGAAGGAAGCAAGGAAGGAAGGAAGGAATGGGAAGGGAAGGGAAGGGAGAAAGGAAAGGAGAAAGGAAGAGAGGAAGAAAGGAAGAAAGAAAGAAGAAAAGAAAGAAAGAAAGAAAGAAAGAAAGAAAGAAAGAAAGAAAGAAAGAAAGAAAGAAAGAAAGATGGGAGGGAGGGAGGGAAGGAAGGAAGGAAGGAAGGAAGGAAGGAAGGAAGGAAGGAAAATTAAAGGTAAAACAGCAAATCTGACACCTATTTGTGGAAAAGCTACATCAAGGGGCTTTCTCTTTTGAAACCTGTAACAATCCCATTCAAAACTATCAACATGTGAATTTGCCAACAGATGGGACTGCCTTGTGAGACAGTTGGCCCTCAATGTTTGTCAGAACCAAGATGGAATATGATCTCAAAATTATGCTTGCATTATGGATAGCTGAGCTTTATGTGGTGAGGGTGTGGATGTAGTATGCCTCATGGCAAGGATTTTTTGATTGAAGAAAAATGGAGCTGTTGTATCTGGGTTTGAAAAGAATGCATATAGTCTTAACTAATAAGGGAAGAGAGAAAAATATGTTGCATTGCTTATCAAAGGAAACTGCAGTGGTTTTTTTAAAAATGTGGAAAAATTTACATAATAGATTATATATATCCATCTTTTGTCCCCCACACACCTAGCCTTGGTCAAAGATGGCTATATGTCACACCTATCATAGACCCAAATACATGTTATCCTGATGCATCTGCTAAAGTCATCAGTTCATTTTTAAGCTTCAGTCGAGCCGGGAACCCCCCAAAACAGTTCCCACGGCATGGTCCACTCCATTAGCAATTCTGTAGCCACCTTCACTGCTGCTGCCGCCTGCCATGAGGCCTCTTCCCCCTCCCTCCCCAAAATGTAGCGCCTGCTTCTTCCCCTATAAATACACCATCAATAGACAGTTACTATGGCAACAATAAGGAAGCAAGCGTGAGGGCTCCACGACAGAGAATGATGCTGCAGCCATACATGTATATGTCCCTCCTGCCCCTGGTGGATACTGTAAAGCTGACTGTAGGCGGAAGGAATTTTTAACCCACTCCCCACAGGAACACAGCTGAATCCTGACAGCCTGGAAAGGAAGGAAGGCAGGGAACTGGCCACCACAAAGACCTTGCTTAACTCCACCCCAGACTGAAGCTTCTGAATCTCAGCCCTCTGGGACACAACTCCCAAAGTCCTTCACATGAAGCCTGGTGACCACCAGAGCACCTGGTGTCCCAAGACATGGCCTCCAGACCACTTCTCCATACCCTAGACCTTATTTCCATCCCTCAGAACTGATCGCCAGGAAACGGCTCCGTGATCTCCAAATCGCATGACTCATCGACCCACCCAGTGACACAACAACTCCCAAATTATGCTCAAACTCAAACTCTGGGGCCCCCTTGTCCCTTTCCACTCAGACCAGCTCTGAAAGTGCCTGTCCTCGCCCACCTTCGCTGGACACCAGCGCCCTGACCCAGCAACAATCTCCCGGGGCTGCTCAAGACCCCCCCCATCACCTTGGCCCGGCCAGGCCTCTAGGTCTTCCCTCTCCAACAATGCCCTGCGCCCAGCTCGTTGGCCCTGGACACTGAACCGTGCCCTCGGGACTGGGACACCCAACCCAAATGGCCTCACCGTTCTCCGGGCCCAGAAGGCGGCCGCCCTGTTTGCGCACGCAGCCCGCCACCTCGCTGCTGCGCCTCTTCCAGCAGGGGCCCTGTCCCCGCCCACCTGCTCCCCGTCTGCCAAGCCCCCCGGTCCTGCCCAGTCGTCTCCTCCCTCCCTCCCTGCTGCCCTCCCACCGCCCCAGGTACCCTGTCGCCCGCCCCTCCAGGGCCGAAGTGCGCCTGGAAACCCGCCCCTCGCAGCCGGGCGCCCAGGCCCTGCCCATTACCTCGGCACCCCCCTGCCTGCCCCTGCTCTCCTCTGGGAGCTCCGCAGCTGCCCGCCCCCCACACCCCGCCGCGCCAGGGCTGGCCTCGCGCCCCGCGCCTCGCGCGCCACGACCGCAGTGCCCCGATCGCCAGGCCGCGATCGTCGCGCTGCCCTGCGCACCGGGCCGCCGGGTCTCCTGGCCGAGTGGAGGAAGGAGGGGTGGGGGCGACGGAGTGGGCCGAGGGGGTTGGGAGAGCGGGCGGGCAAGCTGGGCCGGAGGGGCGGCGGCGCGCACCGAGCACAGCGCGCCCGCGCCCCACTCAGCCGGCGCCGCCCCTGCCCCCGCCCGTGCCGCCGGGGGGCGGGGCCTGACTGGCGGGCTTGGGGCGCACAGAGGACCCTTGGCCAAAGCCCTGGTCCAGTCGTGACCCAAGGCGTGGGCCCTCGGAAGATACCGCGCAGCAGGGAGCTCGGGCGGCCGCTCTCAAGGCCCGCGCGCCAGGCGTCCCTGCGCAGCCCAACCCCCGTCCTGTCCCCACTCCGGGCTCACCTGCCATTCAGGCCCGCTCGGCTGCTGGGGCCGCCGAAAAGAGAGGGGGTCTAGCCTGCAGCCTAGGCCTGCCTTGCCAGGGATCCACAGGGCCCGCAGAAGAAGGGCCGAGTCGAGGCCGCGTTCCGCCAATGACTGGGTGACCTTGGCTTCCTCACTTACCTAACCCCACCCTGCCCCTGGGAAGGCAGGCTTCTCTCCTGAAAAGACCGAGAAATGGGGAGAATTCTGCCTCCCTCGCGAGGCTGCAGCGAGTTGAAGGAGGAAATGGGTTTGGAAAACTCTAAGGCTCAGTAAGGGGAGAAGGAATCTTCTGGGCCTGCAAGGAGCGCTAGATGGGGGCTCCTTTGGAGGCCGCACTGTGAGAGGTTTAGCATGGCAGGACAAGACGCATAGCAGAGATTACACTAGTCCAGGAAGAACTACATGACAGGTCGACTGCTAAGAGAGGGGCAAGGGGGTTCCGAGTGGGCTAAGGCTCTGGGTCTAGGAAAGCCTTCCTCCGAGAAGGGGATGCTGGGTTTTCAGGGTTCCTTTTTGTTCTCTGCACCTCTAGAACCCGACCAGGCACTGGTGTTGGCGTCCTCTTCCTCCCTCCACCCCAAGTGTTGCTTTTGATGGGAATGAGTCTCAGAAGGCGTTTCCAGAACCACTCCCACCCCTATCCCAGGGCGGGTATTAGCCACCTGCCCTGCAAGGGGGCGGAAGAGGGGTGGGAGAAGGTCTTCACTGCCACAGGCCGTCTCCTCTCCAACACCCAGGGCCCAGATCCCCTAGCTCCCCCGATGCCCACCCCTACATTTCTCTCCCCGCATGGTGCTTTCCCTTCCATTTCTGCCTCCTGTTAAGAGTTCTTCCCTAGCTTGCTTGCTATTCCACGGCTGCAGGAATCTTCCTTACCCAGGGCAGCTCTTCTACGGCCTTCCTCCCATGCCCCCGGAGCCTGTGGGGCAGAGTTCCACAGGCTCTTCTGGAACTAACCTCCTGAGTTTCCTAGCCCACCAGCATGTTCCCATCCTGATCTTAACACGGCATAGACCCTTGTACAGCTGACTGTTGAAAAAGCAGCTCTTCCAGTATGTGCACAAGGGTCTATGGCTTCTGCCCTCCTCCTGGCACTCCAACTTTAGCTTCTGGCTCCAGCAACATGAGGCTACTTCTACTTCCCACTGCCCAGAATGCCTTTCCTCCCACTGTGGAGCCAGAGCACTTGCATTCATTCTTCCCACACAGTGCGCATGACATCTCTACTGTGAGGTCTTGCAGGATCTTCCCCGCACCCCAGTCCACCATTCCACTCTCAGGACTATCTGAAGAGACTATGAACATGGGAGCCTTGGGGGATAGCAAGCGGGGGGAGGCAGAATAGCAGTGCCTCTGGAGCGTACTGCCTGCTATATCTCTTGGCAGTACTACCTAGTAGGCTCTATTATCTCCAGCAAGTGATTTGACCTCTCTGCATCTTGGTTTCCTTACCTTTCATATGGGAATGATGCTAACAGTGCCTGCCTCAAAGCGTTGCTAAGGGGTAATGGAGCTAATCATATAGAATGTGCCTGGCGCTTAAGTGTGAGCTTAATGCACATCAGCTGTGGCCTGCATCCAGCTGCGTTGTGTTCATTTGGTAGCTCACTTATGTGCACACTTGCCTCCTCTCTTGGGGCCGGGGACCTTGTCTCTTCCTATGTCCCTAGCATCTCACACAGAGCCACATCCACAGCTGGTGCTCTCTAGAGCCTTGTAAAGCTGAGACTGGAGAGGCTGGGGCTGAGAAGGCCTTCATTGCCTTCTTACCTGCCCCCATTTCTGTATCAAATCCCATTTTGCAGAGACGGAATTGTGGGTGTATGACCTATGGAGTCAGACAGGGCCCTGTGCTTAAGAGGGCTCTGGACACTTGGCTCAAGGCTGTGCTATCACCATCTTGAAATTCTAATGCTTTTTGAACAAGAGGCCTTCATTTTCACTTTCACTGGGTCCCACAAAGTATGTAAGCCATGGTGCCTATGAGTGGTATCTCCAATATCCCCGATCCTATCCCAGGGAACAGAATTCTCAATCACCTACCACTTGTGACTCCTTACCTTCTCCCCTCTGCAAGCCTTGACCAGTTGCCTCTTTCCTCACCACCAATTCCATTACCTTCCTCCACATTGCCCCTCCCTAGCCCCATCCCTGTGCCTCACCCTTTGGCTAAGAGGAGCACTCTCTGCCAACCTCATTTACTCCCAGAGTTTCACTCTTTCCCCAACACTCATCTGTTCCAGAATTGAATGGATAACTTTATCTGAGCTCTGCTGCTCCCATCCTTTTATGTCCCGACTGAGCCTAAACATTGATCCTTACCCTGTAAGAGACTCATTCCATCTCTGCAAACTGATCAACAAGTTGATCAGGTGTTATGGATTGAGTTGTGTCCCTCTGCAAATTCATGTTGAAGTCCTAATCCCCAGTACTCCACAATGTGATCATACTTCGAAATGGGCCTTTACAGAGGTTATTAAGGTAAAATAGGTTTATTAGGCTGGTCCCTAATCCAGTGCGACTAGAGTCCTTATAAAAAGAGGAAATTAGGACACAGGCATGTACAGAGGGATGACTATGTGGAGACATAGGGAGAGTGTGGCCATCCACAAGCCACCAAGAAAGGTTCAGGAGAAACTGACCCTGCCCACACCTTGGTCTCAGACTTCCAGCCTCCAGAACTGGAAGACAATACATTCCTGTTGTTCAAGCCACCCAGTCCACAGTATCTACTTTGTTAAGACAGACTGAACCAACTCCCACATCAAGTATTCACTCAGTGATATTATGTGCTATCCACTGTTCTAGGACCTGGGATTACAGAAGCCAAAAAATTAAATAAAAACTCCTAACCTCATGGATATTAGACAAAAAAAAAAAAAAAAGTCAAAGATACAGGATGCTGGATGATGATTGTTTCCATGAAGAAAAAGTGAAGCAGAGATTTCAAATAAGGTAGTCAGGGAATGCCCCACTGAGAAGATGGCATTTGAACCAAGATTTGAAAGAGGTAAGAGGCCATCCTATTCCAGGTCAGGAAATTCACAAGTGCAACAGCCCTGGGAGCAGAAGCTTAGCATGTTCTAGGGTTAGGCAGGAGGCTGGTGTGCTGAAGTGAAGCAAGTCAGAGGAGGGTGGTAGGCAACTAGGTCAGAGTAGTTAAGATGGGGGTAGCGTGAGATCATGCAGGGCCTTGTAGACCACTGTCAGGACTTTGGCTACTAGTCAGAGTCATGTGGAGAGACAGTGAGGATTCTGAGTCAATGGTTACCACGATCTGATTTCTATTTTACATCAGGCAATTAAGTGGAGGTGGTAAGAAGCAGGCAGATTCTAGACTGATTTTGATGGAAGAGTCATTAGGGTTTGATGCCAGTTTGGAGTTGGGCTAGGGCAGAGACAGAAATCAATTATGGCGCTAAGGTTCTCAGTCAAGGGAACAGGAAGGATGGAGGCCCTTTAACTGAGATAAGAAAAGCAGTGATGGAATGGGTTATATAGATGTGTGTGAAGTTCAGGGACAATATCAAGGCTGGAGTTATAATCACAGAATGAGTAACATTTCGTTCATATTACAAGTCATGAGACTGGATCAGATGCACAAGATAATGAATGTAGAGAAAGAAAACCAGCCCCAGAACGAAGCCCCAGGCAGTCCTACATTTAGACAAGGAAAAGCCAGCAAGGGGGCCAGGAAGGAGTGATGGGTGAGGCAGGAGGGGTGCAGCAAGACATGGAGGCAACTGCAGTAAGTGTATCAGGAAAGAGGCAGTGAGCAGCTATTCCAATCCTACGGACTGGACAAATAAGAAGAGAACAAAGAATTCAGCATTATGTCTGTCAATGTTGTGGTCATGAATGTCTTTACAGGGGCTATTTCCAGGAAAATGTGGAGGGACAAGAGTAGGAAAAAAGGAATTGAAAACAGCGAGTACCCAATGATTGACAAGTATTGTAAGGAGTTTTGTTGTAAAGGAGAACAGAGAAACTTGGGTTGGGGGTGGTAGGGATATGAGAGGACAAGATAAAAGTATTTTTAAAATATGAGATAAATTCCATCCCGGTAACGTTTGTATGCGAATGAGCCAGTAAAGTGGGAAAAATTGGTGATGCAGGAAGGAGAGACACAGATGTAGGTAGGTGGGAGAGGCGATGGCAGAGCTTGGAAAAGTTCTCTTCTGATGGCTTCTATTTTTCCAGTGACACAGAAAGCCAATCCACCAGTTGGGAGTTGGGGTGAGGGATGTCAGTGGTTTGAGGAGAGAAGGCTTGAAATAGTCTTCTTCTGGGAGCCAGGATGTTCTCTGGAACTGTAGCATGATTTCTGGGCTGCATGGAGGGCCCACTTGAGGGTTGATGGTCATTACTTTAAAGTGAAACTACTCAACATATGTGCGTGACTTTCTCCAACCATATTCAATTGTTCTTGTGGAGATTTAGAGGAGGTAGAGTTGGATTTCATCAGGGTTAGGGTTTTGCCAGATGAGTACAGGGATATAATGGAGGGACACAGTAGTTTTATGTGGATTCAAGGGAGAAATGATAACGATTGACCATGGATTTTAGGCTGGTTAAGGAGGGAGGTAAGGACAGAATCAGGGTTTGGTGAAGGAGAGTGAAATCAACATTAGAATCTTTGGTTTGAGGGTCCCCGTAGGGGTCAGAGGAGTGTTGTAA